GAAATAGGCTCTTGCTATGTATGCTGGCCTTGAACTCAAGATCCTCCTGTCTCAGCCTCCCAAGTGCTGGGATTGTAGGTGTGTGCCACCATATCTAGCTAAAGTTACATTTTAAAAGGGAATAAACTCATGGCTCATATAGACATAAAATGAACTATGTCAAAGATTTTACTTAACTCTAAATAGCAAAAGAACTAGTAAGATATTACAACTAGTTCAAGAACTTAAAGTCCCACCCACATATAGTCAGATAAGGAATGATGAAATGAATTTACAAATGGATGAAAAACTATAGATCCACCCCCAGGCTGTTCAATACTCAAGAGCCAGTATTCAGAGAGGAAAGTTAGTGGGAAGAATCAGGTTTCTTCAAGGGCTGACATCTAAAGATGGAGAGGCTGTCATCCTCAAAGCTCTATCTTTGGGAACTCAGAGGCACAAAGTGCTCTTACAGGGAACGGAGGTGCAAGGAGACAGTGGGCAGGAGGGATGTGCACTAAGAGGGGGTCTTTGTCATCCAGCGTATGTGTATCCTTTTCCCTCTTTTTTTGGGAGGGGTGTTGGAGAGGGAGTGGTACTGGGGTTTAACTCCGGGTTTTGTATTTTCTAGGCAGGCACTCTGCCATTTAAGCTGACCTTCAGCTGTCCTTTTCCATCTGAGCAGAACATTGCAGTTGACCTCAGCCTCTTGGGGCTAGTTCCTGTATTTTCTTTAAATAGACATGTTACTTTTCTGCAGGTTTTTGTTAGTTGATCTTCAGAACTAAAGACTAAGGAGGGGTAGTACACATTCTAATCTTATCTGCAGGCCACCAGTTGTTCTGGGTTCTATAAACCTAAAGAAAGACTATTTAGTAGTGAACATCTTAATCATTTAGGTCAACTTCTCTTTTGAACTGGGAATGCCAGGGAAAAGGAAGGGAATATAATCCTTGCAAAAAGCATAGAGAGGGGAGGTAACCTTGAGCAGGCTAAGTTCTCCAAGGGCTACCTTGGGCAAAGAAAAGGGGAGCCAAAAACTCTACCAAAAACAGCTCCCAAAGGAGCAGTCACTGATACTGTTAGAAAGCCTACAGTCATGATCAAGTATATTTCACCAGAATGACTTGCCTATCCATGAATTGGGAGCTTTTTGAGTTACTGTCAGTTTTCTACAAGTGAACATTTCCATCTGCGGAGTTGTAGAAGAACCTAGTAAAGGACACGGGTATTTTAACCCAATGGGTGATCTAGCCAAGACACACAGTTTTCTTTTGATATGCGTGTTTATATGTCTGTATGCATACATATATGAATGTATATATCTATATTTTTTCCTGAATATTTGAGAGTCAGATCAAGACATTATCTCCTAAGAATGACCTTCTTCTAAGGACATACCTAAGAAAATAAAAATAACTCTATAAAACCATCTAATATCCAGTTCATTTTAAAACTTCCTCAATCCCAAGAGTGTTTTTATACCTTCTTACATATATGTATTTGAAACAGATCCAATCAAAGTTCCTTCATTTAAGGCTATTTTTAAATTTCAAAGAGCTAATCTCTTGGGACTAAATCTTCAGTGACTGATCCTGGTGGCCTTTCTTGTAACATTTACAAATAGCAGTGTTTCTGAGGCAGATCAGATGCTTTAAGTTGTCATTCTTCTCTCAGGAGAATCATATCACTTTGATTAACATGGTTATGAACTACGTGTCCTGTGCGCAGGGAAAATGAACCTATGGGCTCTTTGCTATTTGTGCAAAAGAAAATTATCCATTGCCATGGGGCTGTTCAACAGCCTTTCCATTGTACAGGCTGGTAACTGGCTGCCTATGGGGTTCTTCTGCAGAAAGGAGAGATAAATAGAATAGTCAATTCCCTTGGGATGGAAAGAAGGCAGGCAATCCAAGATAGTGAGAGGCCAGAGAGGGTGGGCATGCTTGAGTATCCATGTTTTGTTTTTTTACAACCCTGTATTGAAATTGATTTTTTTTTCTGAATTCAGATTTGAGAGCCATAGAATATTCACAATTCTTCATGACTTAGGTATTATTATTATTGTTATTATTTTGCTGGATCTCAGATATTTTTTAATACTTAGCTTTAGTTCCCCATATTTCTTTCTTTTTGCTAATTTATTTTTGTGGTGCTGGAGGTTGAACCCAAGGCCTCATGAATGCTAGGCAAAGCATTTCACCCACTGAGTTACATCCCTAGCCCAGTTCCCTCTAATTAAAGATTTTAATAATTTTTTAATGTTTATTTAATTTTTATTAGTATTATTGTATTGGGAGTACATCATGACATTTACCAAAGTTCTTACAATATATCGTAGTTGATGATAACCTGAAGGAGTGGTTAGAACGTGAACTTACATAATATAGGCTGAGCAAGGCAAAAGTGGTATGGGACTTCTGGATGGGGTGGCAAGCTATAGGAAGAAACCAGAGAAAGTATGATAAATAAGTTACTTAGTGCGGTTTGGCAAGCATGTTGGTGGTTCTCCATTGATGAATTGGCCTCTTCCTGCTATGAGGAAGGAAACGCTTTTTTTTTTTTTAACAAAGTAAATGTAAATTTCCTTTATAAAAGAAAAACTTGTGCTCTGTATGTAGACTTTTTCCTACATTTGCTGGTTCTCAGTGGCTGTTAGCTCAAAATCTGTTTGCCAAAAGAACAAATTTTGGGATGGCCCAGCTAGGATTACAGGCATTTGCCACTGTTCCCATCACAAAATCCAAAACTTTTTGAGCAATATGCAGTGCTAAAATTTCTAAAAGCCATTGATTCATATACTTTAAATGAGTGAACTGAATGGTATGTGAATTATATCTCATTGAAGCTGTTAAAGAACATTACAAGTTCGTGGGCCAGGTGTGGTGGCTCACACCTATAATCCTAGCTACTCAGAAAATGGGATAAGTTGATTATGATCTAAGGCCAGCCTGGGCAAAAGCATGAGACCCTATCCAAAAAACAAACTAAAGCAAAATTGACTGGGGGCGTGGCTCAAGTGGTAGACCATTTGCCTAGCGAATATGAGTCCCTGAGTTCATACTCCAGTACTACTCCCCCTCAAAAAAAATCCAAACAGAAAAACAAATTCTTAAGGAAATTTTTATGAACATCTGACATGCAAAAGTTATTTATTAGAATTCATAATTTGAATTTTCAGTATGAATCAAATTACTAACTACATTGGCATATCAGTGCTTCATTCCAAAGAGTGAGTAGAAAATCCAAAGAGAAATGACACTATGTTGAGAGTATTTTTAGCATTTTCCACTGTGCATTCTGACATATTTCCATGTTTCTGTAGGTGACTTAGTTTAGAGGTAAACCTCCATTTTCCTTATACTTGGCTGCCTCTGTTGCCCTAGTGGGAGCTGAAGATGGGACTTCTCGTTAAGGAGTTCTTGACTGGAAGGTTTTCTCCCCAGATGTCTGAGGGTCAGATGCTAAGGAGATGATGGGCTTATTCATTAGCCTTTGAATATTAAATCATTTGGATTTGAGTAGGCTTGGATATGGTAGTGGAAGTGAGTTTTCCTCTTAGTTGGTTTTCTTTCATTCAGAACTTGTCAAGTCAGATATAACAATATGTTATAGACAAATCTTTATTTAGTGTTCTTGTTGACAGATGCTTCATGTATAATTTCCTATCCTATTCAGTTTATAGCTAAGGAAGGCATGATGGAGAAATACCATCTGGTTTCCATTTAGGCTAGTGCTTTATGTTAGTCCTGTATGAGTATCTGGAATGGAAAAAGACTTACAGGAATCTGGGACAACTTTCTATTCTTCCTAAGTCATGTTCTCATGATGTCTTCAGTCTGTTTCTTGAAATATTACCTTTTTTGTGTGTGTGTGTGAGACTAGGGTTTAAAACCAGTCACACTTACAAATCAGGCACTCTACTGCTTGAGCCACAGTTCTAGTCTATTTTGCTATGGTTATTTTGGAGATGGGGGCTCTTGAATTACTTGCCCAGGCTGGCCTAGAACTGCAATCCTCCCAATCTCAGATCTCAGCCATACAAGAAGATAGGATTATAGGCATGTACTATTCGCCAGCACCTAGTTGACTTTTTTTGGTGAGGGGACAGAGGTGGCGGTACTGAGGTTTGAACTCAGAGCTTCACACTTGTTAGGCAGGCACTTGAGCCACTCCACTGTTCCTGCCCTTTTTTTTTTTTTTGGCAAAACTGGGATTTGAACTCAGGGCCTCCACCCTGAACCACTGTACCAGCACTTTCTTATGTGGGTTTTTATTCAGATAGGGTCCGCAAACTGTTTGCCTAGGTTGGCTTCAAACTATGATCCTCCTGATCTCAGCCTCCTAAGTAGCTAGGATTATAGGCATGGACCACCAGGGCCCAGCTATGTTGGGCATTTTTAAGATAGGGACTTGCTTTTTACCTGGGCTGGCCTCAAATTGAACTATGATCCTTCTGATTGCTGCCTCCAAGTGTGGGCCACATTTTTTTGCCAAGCATATTATTTTTCTGCAAGCTAAACTTCACAGCAGAGTGTTTTGCAAGCATGGAGCTCTGAGTTCAAACCCCAGTCCTACCAAAAAAAAAAATTTAGAATGCTGGGTAAAGGGAGGGGAAGCCAAAGGATAATTTGTAAAGAGGTGGTCACTGTTACAGTTTGGATATCCTAGATTAGGTTACTGTAAAAGTTGATAGCAACATGAAATAGGTGTCTCTCTCTCTCTGTCTCTCTCTTTCTCTGTCTTGCTCTTATCTCTCTCCTCTTGTCCTAAGCCTTTGAATCCAGTCGTCTTTTTTTTTTTTTTTTTTTGGTATACTGGTGTTTGAACTTAGGGCCTATACTTAGCAACTCTACCACTTGAGTCACTCCACCGGCCCTGAATCCAGTCTTAAGTACTATGCAGTACAAAACCATACTGAACAACTGTGTAGCCAATAGGCATTTGTGGTAATAGGACAAAAACGTTTATAGCAGTCTCACTTATATTTGTTTCTTTTTCATATCATCCGTCTGTACCAGGCCAAAGTAGAAGAAAAGATCCAGGAAGTCTTCAGTTCATATAAGTTCAACCACCTTGTACCAAGGTAAGTTGTAGTAGATTGAGGGGCCTCAGAGTGCACCATCTCATGGAGGCCTGCCATCTTTCCTCTGTGTGCATCTGCTCCCACACTGGCATTTCATGACCTGAGGCAACCTATGCATGCTCATGACTCCAACCTCTCTCTGCATTGTAATACTGTGTAAAGAGATGCTCCACTTGGCCTGAGCCACCATGTGTTAGGTGGGAAACACTTGAGGCCTGGCCTCTGAGGTCTGAAGATGGGGAGAGGAATTGAGGTTTTTGATAAGTTTGTGGCCTGCTGGTTTGGTGTTCAGAGAACTCTCAAGTTTCTCAAACTTGAGAAACAGATACAGTGTCCAGGATATGGCAGAGGATAGATTCCTTTGATGTAAATCATTATTGCTAATATTAATATTTAGTATTGAGGATGGCATTCAGGGCCTTGCATATGTTAGGCAAGTGCTGTTCCACTGAGCAATATCCCCAGCCCTAAATTATTTGACTAGGAAGCTGTGAGAAGTTTGAGCTGCTCCCACCATGGTCCTTATTAGGAACTGTGCAGCAGATCCCAGGGATGAATTTGCAAATGAGAAATACAATAGTTTTTGTTGTTTTTAGGACTTAGCAAGTTGAAGTCTTCTAAACCTTGTAGGGTCAGAAATTCCAAAAAAAGGAATTAGAAGAATTCCTTTTTCAACCTTTATTTTCTCTTTTTTTTCTAGTGCTTTATAATTCATCACATTAGATTCCATAAATTTATTTCATCTCTTTATCAGTATTTCTCTTTAAGTCACAAACTTATGACTTAAAGAATCATCCTGTGTAATATTTCCAGTCATCAGAATTGATCAGTAGCCCAAAACTGTGTGCGGTCATCATCTTAAAAGTAGAATACTTCTTTTTGGCAGTCTCCAGATAAAGTGTGGTGATTCACTCTCATTAGGATGCTTCAGGATCTGGAGTCCAGCCTCACCTCCTTTGTCGTATCTCCCGACTTCTTGAGACCAAACTCTCTGGGGACTTCTTACTGGAACATTACACATGGCTCCAGCCTTGTTACCTTTGTGTCTTTTTTGTTACCTTCTATTTTGCCATCCTTTCCTTAAGGGTTTTTGGGTTTTTTTTTTTTTTTTGATTACCACTGCAGAAAACAGTTGGAAAAGGCAGGTGCTCATAGGAAGACAGGTGGGAAGGTTAACTTCATCTTCCTTCCCTAGGAAAGGCAAGGAGGAAAATATTGGCCAACTACAAATCTTTCCCCAGTTTGCTAGACTAAATGTACATTATCATAAAGCTCAGACCTCAGTTAAATAAAATACACCTCTTGTCACAAGTCACAGCTGGAGATTAGCAAATGACACCATTTGTGTCAACAGTGTGGAAGAACAAGCTTTCTTCGATGTATTGGCGTCCACGGTACTTCTGTTGCCCCCACACACAAGCCTGGACCCACTTAGCTTCCCCAGAAGAGGACCTGGTGTGATGATAAGGGGTGTGATTTATTTATGGGGGCTTTGCTTTTAGCAGTTAACACCCACAGATGACTCACCTGATGGGCTCTTGAGTCAGTGCTTTCTGCCTGGGGCTCTGTGGACACATGGCCTCTGTGCTCCCACACAAAGGACCTATTATTATTGACATTCCTTTTCTAGTCACCATAGAGCCCTTGCACTCCCTCATTGTTATTGAGAGATGAGAGAGATGGAGAGGCTACAGTCTAGAAGTTGTTGTTTAGGGAGTGGGGATAGAGGACAATAAAAGAGAAAGCTCCTGATTCGTATGTTATGGGTCATCTATGGGTGGAGTGCAAAATTGTTCCTCTTGGGCTTGGATCCTTGTGAAAATATAATGTATCAGGGTGCTGGGTTTGTTTCAGGAATATGACACTTTATCATTGTTGCCTATGAAAACAAGTGTTTTAAAAGATGCTAATTAGCAAGCTAATTAATACTAGAGCTATTACACATTTTGGCTGAATAGGTGAATACATAAATCAGCATATTAATACGAGACTGAAACTACACATCACCATCGTAGAATGATCTTCTAGGATATAAGAATAAATCTGGGAGCTGGGATAGAGCTCAGTGGTAGAGCTCTTGCTTTACATGCATGAGGCCCAGTGTTTGGTCCCCAGCACTGAAAAAAAAAAATCTGAAAATTTATCAGAATTTTAAATTGTTATCACAATTTTAGTACCTCATATTTTATTAGTCAAAATTTAAAAGTTTTTCCCCAAAATGTAAAAGTCTGACAGTCTAATGCAGGAGCAGAACTTCTCTGTTAGGTAAGCACATATTCAGATTTTAGCAATAAATCTCCATGACTTGACTTGTTTGTGTTTCTGAAGTCATGATGCTGATCAGGTGTGACAGAATCACATACACTGCCAGGAAACTGACCACATACAGAACTAGGATGAGCCTTCCAGAACCAAAGCCCAATTGCAGATTTGGCTGAAATTCCAGGCTGGAGGTGACTGTTCATGCATTCTGTAATTAATCCCCTTCCTGGATCCCTGAATCATGATTTCATGATTCTCCTCTCTTTATGGCTATGAAAATAAAATGTACATCTTTTTCTGTAGTGAGGTAGTCAGTCACAAGGATTTTTCTTTTCTTTTTTTTTTTCTGCACTGGGGACCAAACTTTAGTTCTTGTATCTCAGCTCTGCCACTGAGATATACTCCTAGCCCTCAAGAAACTTTTTGACCACAGTTTTAATAGTTTTGTTTGTCAGTATCCCGTTTTTCTATGAAAGTTAATTTTTCCCTCCTCATGGGTATTGTTGTTCCACACCCTTATGATTTTACCCTTTTTTATTTATGTCATTAGCGTTGATAATAAACTTGAAATATATACACACAAACGCACACAAGCACATAAAATTTTTTTTCTTTTATTATTCATATGTGCATACAAGGCTTGGGTCATTTCTCCCCCCTGCCCCCACCCCCTCCCTTACCACCCACTCCGCCCCCCCCCCAATACCCAGCAGAAACTATTTTTCCCTTATCTCTAATTTTGTTGTAGAGAGAGTATAAGCAATAATAGGAAGGAACAAGGGTTTTTGCTGGTTGAGATAAGGATAGCTATACAGGGCATTGACTCACATTGATTTCCTGTGCGTGGGTGTTACCTTCTAGGTTAATTCTTTTTGATCTCACCTTTTCTCTAGTTCCTGGTCCCCTTTTCCTATTGGCCTCAGTTGCTTTAAGGTATCTGCTTTAGTTTCTCTGCGTTAAGGGCAACAAATGCTAGCTAGTTTTTTAGGTGTCTTACCTATCCTCACCCCTTCCTTGTGTGCTCTCGCTTTTATCATGAAGCACATAAAATTTTTGTGTGTGTGGTACCGAAGATCAAATCCAGGGCCTCATGCATGCTAGGCCACTAAACCACTGAGCTACATCCCTAGCACAAATTGCATTTTTATTTTTTTGTCAGTATTGAATTTGAACTCAGGGCCTCGTACTTGCTAAGCAGGTTCTCTACCACTTGAGCAACTCTGCCAGCCCTTTTCTGTATTGGGTATTTTCAAGATTAGAGTCTCAAGAACTATTTGCTTGGCATAGCCAAAATTAAAATTGTTTTCTCTAGGACGAAAATGGCCCAGTACTCCTCAGAAGTGAGAAATACTGGCAATGGTCTGAGCTGAGAAAGCCCTACAGGTTTAGTGTTACGATGACTCTGAAGCCGTGTGCTGCAAGTTAGAGCGCTCAAAAGCGCTTCTCTCCCAGGCACCCGCTGGGTGTCCTCTTCTGCCACCCCATATGTAAAGCAGCTTAGAATTCCCCAAATTGTGAGGAGTCAGGAGGTGTATTCCTTCTTACTGTTCTTCCCAAGGTCCTGACAAGTAAGTTCACCTTCCCGCCAGTGATTTGTGTGCTGGATGCTTACGTTCTCACTAGAGAAGCCCTGGCCTTTAGTGGGTTTAGGAAAGTCTCAGAAATAGGCTTTGTCCTCTCACCTGTCACAGCCAACTGCATGCTGCCCAGGGGTACCCCAGGTTTGGGAAGGGAAGCGTGTTTGCTCATATTCCATTCTGCTGTGTTCTGAAGTCTTGCCTCTTTCACTCACTCTGCAACAGTATCCAGGAGGTTCCCAAAGGGCTAAGTACTCTTCCTGTTTGGGAAGCAAGTACGAGCAAGGCTGGGCTTGGTCCTACCCCTGCTGGGTTCTCAGTCTCATTGTGAGGGGTGGAGGGGTAGACCTTAAGCAGATGAACACAAATACACATTACCAACGGGATGCTCCAAGAGCGTCATGGGGAGGATCTAACTTAGATTGGGACAATAGTCAGGGACGGTCTTTCAGAGAAAGTGACATTTAAGCTGAGATCCATAAGGTGGGTAGGGCTGGCTCATTTAGGGAGTGGTGGGAATGTTCCAGAGGGAACAGCACATGTGAAAGCCTGAGACTGAATCAAGCAGAGTTCAAAGCAGGCTGTGTGAGCGTGCTTCAGTGAAGACAAGGGATGAGGTTGAAGAAAGAGGCTGGAGAATGTCAGGAGTTCATTCTCAGAAAAAAATACTATTTACATCACCACCCAGCACATATGTTTGTAAGTTCCTTCCAATAGCCTTCAGGGATTTACCTGTTTGATCTGTGGTGCAGTCAGTCACACAGGGCCTCCTCATCCACTTGAGCTCTGACTCCTTGCATCCCCCACTGCACAGAGCCTGTCTTGTTCTGCTGCACCTACTAGGGTTTGGGGCTGAATTGCTCAGGGAAAAAACAGTAAGAGCTTTAGCTTTACTGTAACATCCTACACAGAAAAGATTTTTGGATTGTGGTGAGCTGAGAATAAAGGAATGGTAAGGGTATTTGGTCAGCTTGCCATGACCACAGACTGGGTATTTGGAAACCCAGAAACTTATTTTCTCACAGTTCTGGTGACTGGAAATCCAAGATCAAGATGCCAGCAGGATTGGTTTCTCCTGAGGCCTGTATCCAGGAATTACAGATGGCCACTTTCTTGCTGTGTCCTCACATGGCCCTTTTCTCTGTGCTTTTGCCTTCCTTTTCTTGTAAGGACACCATTCCTTTTGGATTAGAGTAGCACTGTTATCTTATTTAACCTTAAATACCTCTTTAAGGACCCTGTTTCCAAACATAGCCACATTGGGGGTTAGGTCAACACTGGGGAAACACAGTTGGTCAACATTGGGGGATACAGTTTGGCCCATAAGGATAAGGCTCTTAATATAGTTTTCAACTGACCAAAAGAAGCTGGTTATGTCTTTTTAGTTTAAAAGAATAAACCTTAGTATATATGTGTATTTATGATTAAATGTATGAGAGTGAAAGAGAAGTGACTATGATCACTGTAAGGAATTTCTGTACCCCTGATTGTGTTGAAGTTCTTTTCAGATGAATCCAGTTAAAGAAACTCAGCAGTCACTCCCCAGCAGGACCTGGCTGTGGCCTGGCTGTCTGTGGGTAAGGTTCAAGGTCAGAGGCGATCTATTAAAGGGCTCATCTTTGGACTGACTCAGATTCTATCTTTAGGAACCAACTCAGGGCAGAAGCAAAGGTGACCAAGGTTTCCACCAATTGAGTGTCTTGAGCAGTGGTGCTTCTTGTCACTTTAGTGAACTGGAGTCTCTTACTCTCTGGAGGCTCTTTGATTTCCTAATGATTAAAAAGCCCCTTGTAAGAAAAGCACTAAGAAGACAAGGAGTGTAGTTGAATTTTGACTTCTCCTTTGAGGATTATCATTCCTTTAATTTTAAATTGAAGGGACATAGATGCAGGGAGAATAATCTCTTGTGATCAGTCAGAAACTGACCAAATTCCTAGTCCCTTTCTCTAGCATTTCACTTAGGATCCCAGAATTTTCATTATAAGGAATTTGGTCTATCTTGCCTGACATATCTAAATAAGGTGGTTAATGTTCTCTTTTGGTATTTTCTCCCATCTGTTCCCTAGGCCTTAGCATCTGAAGGTATTTGGTATATTCAAATTCTTTTTTTGTTATTATAAATTTTTTATTAGGATATATTCATTATATGGGGGGGATTCATAGTGACAATTCTGTGTTTATATTGTACATTGGTTAGATCACCCCCATTCTCTCTCCCTCTCAATCTCCTTCCGGCCCCACTTAATACAATTGCAAGAGATTTCTTTGTTCTATTTCATATAAGTATATGAAGTCCATCAACCATATTCCTCATCTTAATCTCCTTTATTCAGCCTCCACTAGTACCTCCCATATTCAGATTCTTTTGACTGTTTTTCAGGTAGAGAATTGACCTATAGTAAACTTTACTATGAATCCATCCATTAAGAGAAGTCAGGAGTTCCAGTTGATTGTCAGCCTCCCACAATGCTTGCCTGCCCTCATTAAGGTTGCTCAGGCCTTCCTGGTACTTCTGGTCCATCAGACCCATCTTGGTCTTGGTTTCTACCCTGCTCAGCCTGAGCCAGCACATGTGATGAGCTATTTCAGAAATTGATTTACTTCTTTCCATTCCCTCCTTCCTCGGCCTACCTGCTCTTCCCACATTGCCAGTCCTTCCCATAGCACTCTACATTTTGCTTCCGCTACAGTCCCAGCAAGATTATCAAGGAAGTCAGGCGTGGTGGCGAATGACTGTAATCCCAGCATTTGTGAGACTGAGGGAGAAGCAGGAGGAACTTGAGTCTGAAGCTAGCCTGGCCTCAGAGTGAGACCCTGTCTCAAAAAACCCAAAGCAAAGCAAAACAAAACAAAAGATACCAAGGGGGAAAAAAATCAATCACCTAACAGTACTTGCTGACCAATATTTTATGCTGCTTATCTTCTGGTAAGCCTCACTAACTGCCTTATAATTTGTCTCATGTAGATTCTGTAAGAGATTCACCACCAAGACTAACCCACAGCTCTCCCGTAAACTTGGCTTCTTATTCCTGAGAAATTGGAGGCTATCCCACACGAGTTTCCTCTGTCTCCTCTTTCCCGCTTCAAAGTCCTGGATTTGGTTGGCTTCATACTCCTGCCCATTATTTCTGTCTCTAAGGATGTGGAACCCTTCCTTATTGCCAGAGTCACATTTACTGCTGCCTAAAATACTGGAGTAACTCTCTTAAGTTTTTTGTACTTGCCTTTTTTCTTTCCTTTTTTTTTCTTCCTTCCTTTAAAAACCAAACAAACAAACAAAAACCTTTCTTTCTTACAGGATCTTGCTATGCAGCCCAGTCTGGCCTTGAATTCATGATCCTCTTCCTCAGCCTCCCATGGTGTACCACCACAGCTCAGCTAGCATCCCAGACACCTGTAAAAAGGGCCTCTCCTACTGTTTCTCCTTCATTGCTATATTTAGGCCAGATCACCCCACCTGTCACTACTCTCACACACTTTATTCTATGCTGCAAAATACAGTAGCCATTACTGTCTGCAGCTATGTTTTTCCTTTATGAAACCTACCCATTTACCCCCTTGTTCTGTAGTCATTGATGTACTTTCTCCATTTCCATTACTGAATTGAGAACTTTTTTTGAGGTTGAGACTATATTAATGATCTTATTTTGAGCATAGTTACAGTGGGAGTTCTAGAAACAATTGCTGGATTGACTACCTAGAAAGGGGAATGGTTCTCTTTCCTGTTATTTCTGTAGTCAGCAAGCACAGCAAATGTCTTGACATTCTTTTCCTTTTTTCTTCCTTCTGTAATCACACAGAGCCCTTTTGCGACACCATGCAAGAACTGCTGCCTCTGTCTTTGCCTGTGCAGGTGGCCATGGGTGGCACATTCCATCTTAAAGCCAGTATTGCTGACCTCAGTGCCAAGGACATGACTGACTGGAATACAAACACTAGGGCTGTAGGTCAGCACAGCATGTGGGAGGTAGAATTTCAGGGCAGGAGTAACAGATGGATAACCAAGGGGCAGGCAGGGGACAAAGTATAGATCACAGAGAAATGATCTCAGAAGTGATCCCAGAAGAAATGACTGAAATGACAATGGCTAGCTGTCAGGAAAGCTGCAACACTTTGATTGAACTTGCTTACAGATGGGGAGTCACAAGATAACCTGTTCCTAGTTAGATCCTGAGGAACTTTCTGGGCTGAGTGCCACCACCTGGCTACATGTGCTCATTGCAGCTCTTCAGTTAGTCGAGTCTTTTCCTTTAGATCTCACTCAGAACAGTGTCAGGCACTCCAAAGACATTTAGATGTGGGCTTTTCTCTTGTGTAGTCACCCCTTGGAGCTACAGAAGCTGTCAGGTATCCATCTAATGACTGCGGGGTTTGTCCTGAAGCCCATGTGTATGTGTGTGTGAAGTGGAAATGCGAGCAACAAAATAGGCTTACAGGCTCTTTGTCTTTCCAGGCTTATTTTGCAGAGGGAGAAGCACTTCCATTATCTGAAAAGAGGCCTTCGACAACTGACAGATGCCTATGAGGTAAACACATTGCCCAGGAACTCTTTCTGTCAAATTCTCCATTGTGTCTGCCTCCTTTTTTTCTTTTTGAACACAAAAAACTGTTGAACCTGACCTGTTACAGATTCACTTTTTGTACCATGTGGCTCTGACAGGAAGCAGGCTGCTGTCACAGAGCTGGGACTGTACTTCTGAACGAGTCAGAAAGCAATCTCCTCCAGTCTTGTTTGACCTCCTTGGCTAGTGGAGCACCCCAGATGGGGTGGGGTTTTCTTCTACCATTTAATCACTGCTCAGAGGTTCCATGTTTTCTCTTGACTCCCCCCCGTGCCCCCCCCAACAGCGAGCTAAAAGTCAGTGACCTAGTCATCCCCAACCCTTTGTCCTGGAAGTTCATCTAGTTTCTATCCTGGCCAGAGGGAGGGCCAGTACGTGAATCCCAGAGAGCACTACTTAGAGTTTAACTCTGAAGGCCCAAGCACAGAGTGGATCTTCAAGCATATTTCTCAGAGCCCTAGGGTTGGGTTCCTAGAGAAGCCTTTTTTTCTGTGGTGGGGTGGGAAGGGACTGGGGGCTAGGAGTGAGACAGAGTAATAGACAAAGGGTGAATGTGAAGGGTGGGGGGCGCCCAGGCTCCCTGTCCCACTTTTCACAGAGCAGCTCTTTTACTGTGTTTCTATATTTGATTATTTATGGCAGGGTTTTTCCTGCTCTAATGCCTGTAGGGCCTAAGCAGGCAGCATAAGTAAGTGAACTGGGCTGAGTGGAGACCAAGGCAGACTGGAAGCCTCATGTGTTACCCTGTCCCTGTTCATTGCTGTCATCCAGGAATGCAGACCCAAGGTTGCTAGACCTTTTTTTTTCTTTTTAAATGAAGCTAGAAATTCAGATTTGTATGTGACTTTTCTATCAATTAAATGTTACAACCAATTCCAGTTAAAGTAATCTACAAAATATATCTACAGGCTATATTTGGCTGTAGGCTATCAGTTTTCAGTCCTTGACTCAATTCCTCAATGGTTAGGGTCACATCACCCCTGACACAGGTAATTCCATAGCAGCTAACAGTGTGCTAAAAGCCTACCATGCATTCTCTCATTTGACCCTTATCTACTCCACAAGGTAGGTCAGTCTTTATTTTTTTCCAATAAGCAAAGAAGCATAGTAAGATTAAGTAATTTGCTCTAAAGGCACAAAGCTAGTGACAGGAGGACATGAGATTCAAAGTTAGGACAAATCCTTAGCAGTGTCTTTAGTAACCCCCCAGAGTGCTCCCTAGCTGGCTGGTTAGCCACAGTTCAGACCGCCATTTTTGAAGAGGGTGGCTTGGACCTGGATTGAGAGTCCAGAAACCTAGGTGCCTGTCTCAGCTCTGACATGTACTCGATGTAATCTGGGGGAAAATTAATCTCCCTCTTCCTCATTCATAAACTTTTAATCTGTAAAACTGGGACACTGCTTACTGTCTGCCTTGCCTAGGCTTGAATGCTCAGTAGCCACGTATGACTTGTATTAGGACCAAGATCTGTCCATATACCACCTTTAGAAGCTTTTACCACCTCCCCAGAAAAAAAGAGGCAGTCTCTTGTGTGTGCTCCTCAACACTGCTTCTTGCCTCCCGGTGTTGCCCACAGGCTGTGTTCTTATACTGACTATAGAAATAGAAGGCAAAGTAACCTACCCATACACACCTCAGCCCAGGCCTGTGCATGGTCTGTGCTGTGAATGGAGAAACATGGGGAAATAATTAAAAAAAAAAAAAAAAGACTGCTGCTTTTCTTTTTTTTTTTTTGGGGGGGGGTGGTTGGTGGTAGAGGGAGATTGGGTATTGAACCCAGGCCCTGGCATATGCTAGACTATGCTCTACCTCTTGAGCCATGTCCTCAGTCCCTCAAGACTGTTCTTGCCCATGGCAGCATTTGTCCAGGGATATGTACGCATGTTATACTCCTCTTTGTTCCAGGTAGAAATGAGGTAACTTATATGTCTGTTTAAGGCCCTTTTCCTCTAACACATCTTGTGTATTCCAAGTGTCTCAAGAATCAGAACAAGTTAGGCATGGTGGCACACGCCTATGATCCTAGCACTGAGGAGGCTGAGGCAGGAAGATTATGAGTTTGAGACCAGCCTGGGCTACAGAGTGTTCCAGGCCATCTTGTGCTGATATGGCAAGACCTTGCCTCCCAAAACAACCTGCCAGTCACCAGTGGCTCACACCTGTAATTCTAGCTACTTAGAAGGCTGAAATCGGGAGGATCATGGTTCTAGGCCAGCCTGGGGAAATAGTTTGGGAGACTCCATCTCCAAAATAACCAGAATAAAATGGAATGGAGGTGTGGCTCAAATGGTAGAGTGCCTGCTTTGCAAGAGTGAAGCCCTGAGTTCCAATCCCATTCCCACCAAAGCAAAAAACAAAACAAAAACAAAAAACCAAGAACAAAAACGAATTGGAACCAAATTCCATTCATTTTCATGCCCCTAGTGTCTATACAGTACTTGGTACAAGTAGATACTTACCAAATATTTATTGACTCTACCTGAATGAGTTAATCAAAGAACTCTCTTTCTGAGATTATGTCTCCTTGGGTCTGTACTGGGAAAATATCAGCTCTTAACTACCTAGTATGTAAGAAGTCCTCGGCTTTTGCCTTCCTTGGATCTTTGCCTACCAGGGAAGGGCCTGTTGGGTTTAAGGTAAGCTTTTTTTTTTTTAATCCCATTGTCCTTTTCTCACAGATGGTCATTTCAACGCCTGGCTAAGGCCACAAAGCAAAACATCTTTCATTCACTGATTGTTGTTCAAGCAAGGGTGCCTTCCTCCCCTGACCAGGCTGGGGGGAGTAGACAGATGTAGCTTTGTCAACAGTGTCTTAGAATGATTGAATAAGGGGTGTGTTTTCTCCCTATTCCTCTCACAGTGTCTGGATGCCAGCCGCCCATGGCTCTGCTACTGGATCCTGCACAGCTTGGAACTCCTAGACGAACCCATCCCCCAGATAGTGGCTACAGAGTGAGTCTGGCTTTGGGGGACCTGGGGTATTCTCTGGAACTGCACCTTGAGTTTGGGATTCTTTTTGTTTTGTTCCTATTGTATTTGTTGTAAAAGAAAACAAAACCCCAGAGTAGTACAAGAAACCCTTGCCCTTTTCTTGACCTCCAGCCACTTCCTGAAACTCCCCCACTTCAGAAGCCTATTGTGAGCTGATGGATAGAACAAGACTTTGAACTCCCAAGAGAAGGATTCTGGTTTCTTCTGTGGCCTTTTCTTTTGGCTCTTGGCTCTGATCTTTAAGAAGAGTCTTCATCGTCAACTCTGAGAGACATGATCTTGCCAGAAAGTACAGAATGTATTTGCAGAGCTACTGAGGGAAATTGTGTGCCAACTCAATGAGCAAAAATGCCTTTGCCTTCCCTAAACATCTCCATGGAAGTGGAGGGCCTGAGGGACGGGTGGCCTGGATGGGTTACTGGACGCCATGACTCGTAGTTTTCTTAAACTTCTGATTGTTGTCTAGAGATCTAAACATCTGAGGTATTTCCCAAGCTGCTTGTGCAGATGGCGTTCATGGAAAGGCACCTCATTCTCAGGAGCTCATCACAATTTATAGCTTTTTTTTTTTTTTTGTCATACTGGGACTTGAACTCAGGGCCTTCACCTTGACCCACTCCACCAGCCCTATTTTTGTGAAGGGTTTTTCTAGATAGGATCTCTTAGAACTGTTTGCCCGGCTGGCTTTGAACCAAGATCCTCCTGATCTCTGCCTCCTGAGTAACTAGGATTGCAGGCGTGAGCCACGAGTGCCTGGCACAATTTATATCTTAAGGAAGGAAAAACCAGATCAACTCCTGTCCTAGGGATACCTGGGGTAGGAAAGGACAGCCAGGAGTTTGTCTAGGAGGTCCACTGAGAGCCAGCCTGTCCTTGGCTTGAGTTCCTCCACTCCCTGAGCGCTCCTGAAGGCGAGGCATCTGGTTTGGGAGGCTCCAAGCCAGGTTTGTTTTCCCACAGCACAAGGTGGCAGCTGAGCCAGGACTCATGGAGGCTCGATAGAGCCCTCCCTGGTCACGGTGCCCCTGCATTGGTCACATTGTCAGGTCAGAAGAACAGAACTCACATTGTCTCATTCATTCTCTCTTGACAATAACTTCTCATTCTTGCCTTCCTGGGCAGGGTGTCTTGTGATGAATGTGGATGGGGAATAATGAAGAATTAGGCCATTAACCCTTGTGGCATGTCCCATGTTTTCTGAGGCATAGGGAAATAGGCAGTCTTTATCATCGGGACACTGCAGCCAGCCTCTTGCTTCCAGCACTGGAAGTTGGACAGAGTTTCTGCAGTAACAGGGATTTAATTGTCAAGATAAAGGCCCATGTGTTTTTGAAATACCAGTTGGGGGCTGGGGGATTGTTTGGGAAGTTTTTCCTCCACACCTACACAGTTAGGATGTATGCAAGGAGAACGGGAAAGTTGCACATGAGAGAAGCAAAAAGAAAGGGAGAGTGATGCATAGATCTCTAGAGAGAGAGGACTTGGGCCAGGTGGAAGTGAGGAGACAGCGACAAGGTGGAGCCTGTGGAGGAAGAGCTCAAGGCAGAATCAACTTGGATTTTTTCCAGATTTTATTGTTGAGGCTTCTCTGAGGAAGGGAGTGTCAGAGCTGCTTTTATGGCAACACCAGATGGGAAAAGAGGACCCTCTAAAAAGCTCTTCCCAGCAGACAATTGGGAACAACTAAATATTAATAGGAGGGAATGCTTCAAAACTATCACGAGTTTAAGTAAACTGCAATACAATACATGCAATAAAATATATGCAGCCATTTTATATCTATATATTTGTATATATAAATATTTATACATGTAAATATGTAATATTTATATGAGAACATATTTACATAAAGAGATTTGAAGTGAAAGCAGATAGTTAAAAAGACCTTTGAAGGTTAAAAGCATGGATGCAGCCAGGTGCAGTGGCTTACACATATAATCCTAGCTACTTGAGTGGTGCAGACTGGGAGGATCTTGGTTTGGCAAAAAGTTCTCGAGACCCCATCTCAACCAATAAAACCTGGGTGTGATGGTGCATTCCTATCATACTCCCTTCCCATGTGAAGTGTAAATAGGAAGATCACAGTCCAGGCCAGCCCCAGGCATAAATGCAAGATCCTATTTGAAAAATAACTAAAGCAAAAGTAAAGGTTGGCAGAGTGGCTCAAGTGGTAGTGTACCTGTCTAGCAAGCATGAAGCCCTGAGTTCAAACCCCAGTACTGCTTAAGCAAAAGTGACTGAAGGTATGGCTCAGTGGTTGAGTGTCTGCCCACCAAGTACAAGGCAGAGTTCAAACCTCAATACTCCCTCCCCAAAAAAGTGTGGATGGTTGTATGCATAGGAAAAAAACCCAGAAGGATGCAATGCACACATGGTCAGAGTTAATTCTGAAAAACTTTTCTTTTTTTAAACTTATTTTGCATTTTCTGAAATTTCCACGATGAACCTTTTTTGTTATATAGTTAAAAGAATGTTAAAATAAAATAAAGAGTTGCAGAGTATGGTGGTACATGCCTATAATCCTAGCATTCCAGAGGTTGAGGCAGGAAGATGGGGAGTTCAAGGTCAGCCTGGTCTACATTGCAAGAGCCTGTCTCAAAAACATAATAAATAAATAAACAAATAAATAGCTGATTTGTCTTAATTTCAAGAGCCACTCGATAGCTAATGGCTGAGAGTTTCTGCTTCATACTTGCTTAAAAACAAAAACTTTACCTGTAGTTCTTCTGAGTATTCATTTAACTTTCTCTCTTTTTTTTTTTTTTTGAGACAGGGTATAACTATACAGCCCAGGCTGGCCTCGAATTCTCTGTTCTCCTGCTTCCATCTTCCAAGTGCTGGTACTATACAGGCGTGTATCACCATGCCTGTTATGATTTAATGAACTTTTAAAGAATAACAGACTTGGCAGGGTGCAGGGGTTCATTCCTGTAATCTCAGCTACTTGAGAGGCAAACATTGAGAGGATTGAAATTGGAGGCTAACCTAGGAAAAAAATTAATGAGCCTCTAACTCAAAAATAAGCCTGGTGCGGTCCAAGGCCTGCCCAGGTGAAAAACAAGAGATTCTATCTGAAAAATAACTGAAACAAAAAGGGCTGGGTCGTGGCTCAAGTAGTAGAGTGCTAGGCCCTAAGTTCAAGCCCCAGTACCACCAAAAAAAAAAAAGAAAGACTTTCCATTGATGGTACTGTATTTTGTTTGTGCTAAGCAGACAATTAATTCTAGGTACAGATAATATTTGCTATGAGCAGAGGCTAGTACCTCTCACCTAAAAAGAAATAACTATTTTTGTAAGATTCAGAGCAATCTTAATGGCTTTTATAAAGATATTGGGATTGCTTTATATTGGGGCAATATAAAGATATTGGGGCAGACCAGGAGTTTGAACTCAGGTCCTTGTACTCACGTGCTAGGCTTGTACTCTACCACTTGAGTCACGCCTCCAACCTTTTTTTTTTTGGTGGGACTGGGGTTTGAACTTAGGACTACACACTTGCAAAGCAGACACTCTACTACTTGAGTCACGCTTCCAGTCCATTTTGCTCTGGTTAATTTGGAGATGGGGTCTCACAAACTAACTGCTCAGGCTGGCCTCAACCACCATCTTCTTGATCTCAGCCTCCCAAGTAGCTAGGAATATGGCAGTGAGGCACCAGTGCTTGACTGCTTTAGTTATTTTTAATATAGGGTCTTGTGTTTTTCCCCCGACATTCTGATCCTCCTATTTACACTTGCTGTATAGCTGGGATGATAGGTATGTGCTATCATGCCCAGTTTTTTATTGGTTAAGATGCTTTTTGTTCAGGCTGGCCTTGAACCCCAGTCTTTCTGATCTCTCCCTCCAAAATAGCTAGTTTTATATGTGTGACCCACCACATCCTGCTGGGGGTTGTTTTCTTAGACTACATATAATAAAATGTTGCTTTTTAATTTATTTTGGAAAAGGGAAAGGAATGCTTTGATTTTTTTTTTTCCTTTTATTATTCATATGTGCATACAAGGCTTGGGTCATTTCTCCCCCCTGCCCCACCCCTTCCCTTACCACCCACTCCGCCCCCTCCCTCTCCCCCCCACCCCCTCAATACCCAGCAGAAACTATTTTGCCCTTATTTCTAATTTTGTTGAAGAGAGAGTATAAGCAATAATAGGAAGGAACAAGGGTTTTTGCTGGTTGAGATAAGAATAGCTATACAGGGAGTTGGCTCACATTTATTTCCTGTGCGTGGGTGTTACCTTCTAGGTTAATTCTTCTTGATCTAACCTTTTCTCTAGTTCCTGGTCCCCTTCTCCTATTGGCCTCAGTTGCTTTTAAGATATCTGCTTTAGTTTCTCTGCGTTAAGGGCAACAAATGCTAGCTAATTTTTTAGGTGTCTTACCTATCCTCACCCCTCCCTTGTATGCTAAAGCTTTTATCATGTGCTCATAGTCCAATCCCATTGTTGTGTTTGCCCTTGATCTAATGTCCACATATGAGGGAGAACATACGATTTTTGGTCTTTTGGGCCAGGCTAACCTCACTCAGAATGATGTTCTCCAATTCCATCCATTTACCAGCGAATGATAACATTTCGTTCTTCTTCATGGCTGCATAAAATTCCATTGTGTATAGATACCACATTTTCTTAATCCATTCGTCAGTGGTGGGGCATCTTGGCTGTTTCCATAACTTGGCTATTATGAATAGTGCCGCAATAAACATGGGTGTGCAGGGAAAGGAATGCTTTGAAATTTGTATTTTCCTCATAGAAATATTAAGGTGACCTAGAGGCAGTGAGTTACCCCACCTTACCTGGCACAACACACACACACAGACACACACAGACACACACACACACACACACACACACGAGACATTTCTCCTAACACACACACACACACACACACACACACACACACACACACACACACACACACACACACACACACACACACACACACGAGAGACATTTCTGTCTTAG